CCTGTTGTATTTCTAGGATCGAAGGTTTTACAGTCTCTGCCATGTGTAGATGTTGTATTTCTAATATTGATCTACACATGGTAGAGACTGTAAAACCTGTTGTATTTCTAATATTGATCTACACACGGTAGAGACTGTAAAACCTGTTGTATTTCTAATATTGATCTACACGTGGCAGAGACTGTAAAACCTGTTATATTTCTAATATTGATCTACACATGGCAGAGACTGTAAAACATGTTGTACTTCTAATATTGATCTACACGTGGCAGAGACTGTAAAACCTGTTGTATTTCTAGGATCGATCTACACGTGGCAGAGACTGTAAAACCTGTTGTACTTCTAGGATCGATCTACACGTGGCAGAGACTGTAAAACCTGTTGTATTTCTAATATTGATCTACACATGGCAGAGACTGTAAAACATGTTGTACTTCTAATATTGATCTACACATGGCAGAGACTGTAAAACATGTTGTACTTCTAATATTGATCTACACATGGCAGAGACTGTAAAACATGTTGTACTTCTAATATTGATCTACACGTGACAGAGACTGTAAAACATGTTGTACTTCTAGGATCGATCTACACGTGGCAGAGACTGTTGTAAATTGTAGCGTTTGTTTAAGTTAAATTGACTGTGGAAATTAAGTGTATTGAAGAGTTGTATTGAGAAAGAATAAACTAGTTTTATTTAAGAAAGGACTTGTATCGCTGAAGTTCTTCGGAAAGAATTTTTACGGGAAATTAACAAACTAACAGAGACGTAACACACTAAATACCTTTTCCAAATGGTTAAAACTTTATAGCTCAGAAACAAGTTTTGAAAAGGGGTGTGTGTGTGTCTGAGTTTAACACATATCTAGGATGCATTGGAAAATAATGTTTATGTGTGTCTGCTAGTTTATGAACTAACACACAACTAATCAAACTTAATAAGTTATTAAGCCTATATTACAGCTAATGCAACAATAAAAATCTGTTCTCTCCATGTATATTTCTATACACCATTTAACTCTCTCAATATGTACACGTTGAGGTTTTCCTTTTTAGATAAGTTTAAATGTAACGTATTGGAAAAAATAAACTAATTCACAAGTTATGCAATCCGCTATTTTGTTGACCCCCCCCCCCCTGGTGACTCGGCGCCAAGTATGAAGGCTTATAATGCTAAAAGTCTGGATTCGATACCCACCGAATGTAGAATACAGATAGCATTGTGCTTAAACTGTTGACTTTGAATAAAATACAGATCGACCAATTTTACTTCGGTTTGTATCGTTAATAGTTCATTGGTTATCTGTTATATCATATTTTTTGTTGTTGTTAAAAAGTAGTTTGAACGCTTCTTGTAGTTACAAAAAACCTAAAGTACTTGATTTGGAAATCAAACTTTCTTTTCAACTTGGTTCTTCTCTGCATTTCATGACGATCATTCGTAATCCATATGAACGTGTGTGATTATTATAAGCATACGCAGACTTAATACAGATGTGTTAAGCAGATCCACTGCGTAGTTTGTAGTTCGAATTTTGCAAAATCGCGCACATACGTAGGGGGGGGGGGGGACGTTTTCTACATAGTCTATATTATTCGGATGAAACATTAGCATTTTATGCCTTGAAATAGTCGCATGCTCCCAGACCCCCGTAGATATTAGCATGCTGATTGTGCTTTGCGCTGTATTTGTTGGCTTTTGATCTCAAAAATTAGACCCCCCCCTTTTCAAACATTCTGCGCACGGGCCTGAAAATACCTGTTTTGAAATAAATTTCAATATGTGGTTTGCTTTGAAAATTGGTAGAGTGAAAAAGTAAGTACTTCGTGATTAGTAGTGGTTAGAATTAATATACACCCGGATTATACAACTTAAGACTTGCGTGCGCGCTAACAGCTTGTTCAAGAGAAAAATGCGATTTACGCTGAACGACTTTTTTATCACGTAAGTATCTACATCGCATCTTGTGAGACACAATCAGGGGAACAGATAGAGATTTGAAAAAGCCACTGAGCACACGGTTAATGTTACATACTGTCGGACGAAGCAAGCTAGTTAGTCCGCTAGGGGCCCGCGCTTGATGTTTGTAATACAATAAAATATGCTGAGTTATGGGCCCTGTATGCACAGGTGATCTGATAAAGTTAATAAGAGCGCGATGGCTTAATAGAAAATGTACAAGTGGGCTGGCGTGTTTTTTTCCAACCTTTGAGCACGTGCTCTGATATTGTGACGTCATGTAGTTTCGTACAGTTTTTATTGAAAAGGCCTCGAGCTACTCTGTAAGGCCAGCTCTGCATATTGTTTAGAATGTAGATAAATGAATGTTTAAAAAGTTGAAACATTAGTTTATGCTCTCAGTTCAAGTGAATTAGGTTAGTGGCTCAGAAAGGGAATTAAAGCCGAAATAAGTTTTTAGTTGTTGTTTTTATTGCTATTCGGTGTGACTTACGTACGATGAACACATTATAATAACACTTTGAACATAGTTCGTGAAGTAATACCACCAGAGAAGTTAGTTCGTATAATTTTTCACATTTCGACTCTTATAGGGAAAGAAGTCATATTATTCTGGCCACTAAAAGTTTTTACTATACAAATAAAATTGTAAAAATAGCTCAATTTGCTTTATGTAGTTCCCAAGTTATTTGAAGTATTTTAACGTGAACATTTCAATATATATATAATGATAATAATAAACTATGATGTAGGGATGGTAATGCCAAAAAGTACAGGAACAAGGTAGGGATTAATACAAAATTCAGTACATAAGTAGCCAAATCTATCCAAGAATAACTTTTATCTGCAACTAAATGTTGAATTCTTGACAGTTGCATGAATTCAGTTTTCAATAAAAGCATTTAAACTGAGTAGTTCTATACAGTCTTATAGTGGCTGATAAGCTTGTAAGATTGACTCAGTACTTACTGGCTACTTGTGTAGTAATTTTTATATGGTTTTGTGTATTCATCCGTATCTTGTTTCTGTACTTTTTGGCATTGTCATCCCTACATCATACTTAATTTTTGCAATTTTTTATTACTTGTTCCTCTCTTTCTTTTCTCTTTTTATTAAACAATTTCATTGAAGTAGGTTGGTAAGTGAACATTTGTTTTATTTTTATAATTCATTGATCATATCGTATCACTTTTGTCAGTTTTCTAATTTTGGATTATACTAGGGGCCAGTGAAGCCTGAAAGGTTCGTCCAGGATGGTAAAACTACCCCGTAACGCAGGACCGACATTAAGATAATATTTACAGGACCCCGCGCCTTCCAACTTCACCCAACATTCAATCTATTACTCCATGATGATTACAAATAGTTGCTAAGGTTGAGTTATAGCCTTATATGAGCACCTAATTGCCATTATCGAGTGTTTCACAGTTTATATAACAGTAATATTATTCTGTTCCTCTACCACACATATTTTTGTGGAGACACATTAAAAAGCAAAACTGCTACTTAGCAGTGAGTTCAGTTTATAAGCATATATTATTTCCACATTTCATAAATAATTTTCATTTCAGGTCGCTAGATGGCAACACATATTCTTATATAACGACCGTTTGTTATTTTTCATAACCAAACATGTTATTTGCTAAAACAATTTCAGTAAATATAATATATGTTATATTAAAACATTTTTGGAACTTCATCACGCTGCCATGTAGGGTCATGCTCTATCTGACGACTATGCATCTTTACAATAGCCCTACAGTGTAGCTTCCATTTCAAAATGCTCCATCATAAAACTGTCTTGCCAAAAGCACACTATTTATCTCTATGTGTTTTCCACAACCAGCCTAGTGTATGAGGATGATGATTTACCAATGCCCTTTCAACAGTCTGGTTATACAGAAATCCATAGATGCTGCATCCAGTGGCTTGTCCGGTGTCTTCATATGAAACAGCATGAACATTTCATTCTCCAGTCGCTGAAACATGCAAAAGTTGAATGGATAGGTCATAGAAGTAGCTTTTATACACATTGCTTCTAATGACTTTACAATGTTCTAAGAGTGTTGAAAAGATGTATGAATTTGGGAAGGGTATTAGAAGAGTGATTTTCCAAACTAACAACTTCACAATGTTATAACAGTGTTCAATAGATATGTCAGTTTGCTTTTGTACAAAATTGAGTCCTCTAGTCAGATTTAAGTTGAAAAATGACACTGGAAATTGACTGGTTTTCCAACGAGACTCGAAACTCGAGCACTTTCAAACAGTTCATTATTCTTCTTCAGGAGAATAGAGAAGAATGAAAAATAGTGAACTGTTCAAAAGCTTTAAGTTTTGGGTCTCATTTGAAAACCATTACAACTTTTGTATATGATTTTGTGTGGAAACTTCTTAACTGGAAATTGGCCGGTATCATTAAATTATCAGAATTAATAATTATTATCATTTTTTCATCTGTTTTTTTGTAAAGATATTCGTTATGTAACCAGTTCTTACATGTTAATATTTATTTAGTATGAAATTGTTACACTTACATGCAATTATAGAAGATATTTTTATATCCAGGAAATACCTATTAAGGCTGTTTAAAGCACTGATAAAAATAAACAGTCCAATAACTGATGATAATTGTTGTTTCCTAAGGAAGGGCTAAGGCTCGAAACATAGAGTCAAAGATCAACGTTACCATCTTCTGTTTAATGTATATTTTGGTCAGTTATCTTTTATCACATGATTATATTTTTTTCATTTTTAGCCCATTTTTTAACTAACTTAAGTAATGTTACTGGATGAACCATGTCCTAATTAGGTTTGATTTTAATTTCATTTTCAATATTTTTTTTTTGTAGAAAGTTTTGTACATGTTGAAGAAAAAAAGGGTTAACACTAGTTTGTTTCTTTTACTTAACAGTGTGATAGCCATCATGGTAAAGGACTCGCATACCCCTGATTCACCTGAGTTATGTAATCCTGCTAGTAGTCAGGAGAAAATCAGCAAGCAAGAATATGTTGAAGTTTCTGTTTCAGATAAACTTTTGACCACTGGTCATGAAAATGATATTTTAGGTAATGGTCATGGATCTTCTTGTGCGAGGGCATGTGATGGTGTTAGTGATTCTGTAAATAGATGCTCGGATAGTCCTTCAAATGTTACTTCACACTTATCAATTAACAATGAGTATAATACGTGCTCAGTGGTAAATCGATATATTGAGAAAGATGTAGATGATGACAATTCGCCAACTCACTCTGTAGCCAAATTAAGTATGAACTTGAAAAACCCAGAAAAAGACAAAAATGGTGACACACAAAAAGATAAAAGCTCAATTTTAGAAGGAAATCAAGATCAAGAATTTGTGTTTTTACAAGACATGGGATTTACTGTGAAACTAGCTGTTCCTGGATTGGAACCATTTGACATTCAGGTTAGTAATAATACCCAACACGTTCATTGCTTCTATTGGCTTTTCATTTAAATTCATTTCTTTTTTTGTGCAGGGGTATTTTAGAAATATATTTCACTAATAGTGTATTTGTGTTTAAATTTTACCAAAAAAATTATATATGTTTACATAGAATTGACTAAACCAAAATGTTCCAAGTCTAACCCAGTTGTCAGCTGTTTTTATAAATTTCAACATTTTAAACATGATGTGGGTATTAGTGCCTGCTGTAAGCATAAACTTTGTCCTTGAATAAGCTAGAAAATCCAGATTTCATGGAAGATGTCTTCTAGGGAACATACAAGTCATTTGTTGGAAACCTCTAATGATTTATTTACCTATGGGACTTTCAAACACATGCTATTATGGGGCTTGTAAGTGGGAGCTGTTATGGGGCTTTTAAATACATGTGGTTATGGAGCTGGTAAGTATGAGCTGTTATGAGGCTTATAAGTACAAGCAATTATTGGCTTATTTGTTAGTTTCAGGGAGATCAGAAATAATAAATGTGAATGTTACTTCTTATAGACCAGCATTATTATTTGTCAGATCTGAAACATGTACTGTTAAATGCTGTGAAAGATACTTCATTGTGTAATTTAATGTCTACCATTGTTACTGTAAAAGGATTATTAGCCAGGACTTATTTGTGGAGATGTGGCTGAGATTAAAGCTTCTTTTTATAGACCATGTATATATAAAAAAAACTTGTGTTGAGAATGAAGCAACACAAATATTTTCACACCTTTTTATTAATTTTTTCTAATGAGCTGTAATTAATATTTTTAGTTTCCTTCATGTATGAACGTTTTTATGATAACATTAAATATGTACACCTTTACACTTCAAGGTGGTTATAAGGTCTTGTACTTGGTTCATAGTGGTGTAACTCAGAGGTGAAAGTGCAAATTGAATTGAAACTCCCAGGGTATGACCATCATGACATGCAGGACATAATGCAATATTTTGATTTAGATTTATCAGAACTTATCACAATTATGTTGAATTTCATCAACAAGGAAGAAGAAAATTACTGGACATGGTGAGTCATGATTTTGAGAATCAGCAAATGGATATTATTTCATTTTGTGACAACAGAATTAGACTAGTCACCTTTGATTAAAGCCATTGTTTTTTAAATGGAAGATGTAAATGGATTGTTCTCGGAAGTGAAGAAGGTAACGTTCATCACAATATTCTGATTATACTCTTCAGGTTAGCTCTATTGAACTTGTTCAGGAAATCCACCAACTGTTAATGGATCGAGAAGACACCTGTCATCATACCTGTGTGTCTCTGCAACTGGATGGTACCACTCTAGACAACTTTTCAGAGATTAAGAATATAGAGGGACTAAAGGAGGGCTCTGTGATAAAAGTTGTAGAAGGTAAACTGATTTTAATATGTCAGACCTGTGTACATGTCTTGATAATTGTTGTTATTGTTTGAACACCACAGTGTGCTATGTAGAGTAGTTTACATGTATGCAGTTGTGCCTTGTTTACACAGAAACTTAACTAATGTTTACATAAAAGCTTATCTAAAAATTTCCCTCTCTATCACAAAATCACAGTGATTTTAGTATATATTACTGTTTTTTTTTTTAAATAAAGCAATTGTACATGAGACTGATACACTGATTTATGCAGCTAAATCCCTGTACTGAAAAGTTCAATATTGATGCATCGTGTCAACATTTGTAATGATAGAGTATGCAAACTAGGCTTATTGTTTAAATAAAAATGCACTTGCTTTATTTTAGTTTATGTAATCATACTTTTTCTTGTAAAAGATATTTTGGTTTGATGTATCATGAAAGCATTCCTTAGTAATGAACTAACATAGCACCAGTTCTGCAGACATATAGATAAAACTCATGCAGTGCATCCTCATAATGATTTTTGTGTATTTGAGTAGCAATTATGCTGAATGTATGAGCTAGTTACTTTACCTTAAATTTTGTGACAGTGTCTGATTGATATAGTTGGTTGTGTATATGTCACATGGGTAGCTGTTTTGAGAACAGAGCAAGAGTCATTGGTGGTATTTTTTGTGATAATATTTTACTCAGTGATGTTGATGCTAGTAAATGACTGGTTGTGGTGGTTGGGTATCTAGTAATTCTATTAACATGTTTCAGCTCTCATCCTCACATTGTTGTCAGTTTTTTATACATTTTTATGATTCATAAAATCAACAACATTTTATTATTAGTTCACTTATTCCTTTTTTAAGTTAATGTTTCAGTGATAATGTTGAAAGACATCATCATGATTTCATTATGTTTTAACATTGTCTTATCTTGCTTTCATAAACTTGCTGCGTTACATGTGCATAAACAAATTCTGTATTGTTGTGAACCTACCTTAGGTTGATAACTTGAGGTTAAATTAATAATGAAGTATCACTTTTAAATGATGAGTTATGTACTGTACATAATACAAGCATAGTTTGATATAATTGTCTAGAACCATACACAATGAGAGAGGCTCGTATTCATGTTCGGCATGTACGGGATCTCCTGAAGTCTATCGACCCTGCCGATTCCTACAATGGGATTGACTGCATCTCCATCTCCTACCTTAATGTGGTAACTCAAGGTGATATTTTAGGTGAGCTAGTGTAATATTTTCTTGTTTTTTATTCACACATATATATATTAATCTTAGGGTGTGATTGTAAGAAATTTTAAGAACATATTCTAATTGCTTTAAATTAACACGTATTAAGTTAAACAAGTCAGGCATGTTTGGCAGTTTGTTGTTAATGTTGTAGGAATGATAATGCACCATTGTATAATTGTAACACTTTCTTCTCTATAGATCATTTGAAAACCAAATGAAGGTATACATGGTATTTTTGTTCTTTGTTTATAAAACAAAGTTTTAGATTGAAGGGTTTTATACCACAGTCACTGACTAATAAAATTTGACCTCATTTAGGAAAAGATAAACCTTTCAATGTTCTTCTTTCAATCATAAACAAATCAGTGTGATTTTATATTTAATATTGACAGTTTTCTATTGGATGTTCTGTTGTTTTTACATTGTTTTAGTGTTAAAGGTTATGTATTTAATATTGACAGTTTTCTATTGGTGTTCTGTTGTTTTTACATTGTTTCAGTGTTAAAGGTTTTATATTTAAGATTGACAGTTTTCTATTGGTACTTCAACTGTCCTGTTATTTTTGTATTATTTTAGTGTTGAAGGTTTTTATGTTAGTAAGCTTGTGAAAAATTATTATTGATATTTGAGGTATAAAAAATTTATGGTTATAAATTTTTAAACTTATTGGTTTTGTATTTCATATCCTGAAGTACGTAATAATATTCTGAATATTTTTTCCCCTATTTAGAAAAAAAGAAAAGTAGACCTAATTTTATGGACTGCACTCCTCCCAATTATATCATGCCAGGAAATAGAGAATGCTCTTTGGTGCCCCTCCTACCTCAAATCAAAGACCAAAAGGTAATAAAAATAACAGTTGTAATAGTAACATTGAATTAAACAGTTATATTTTTGAGTCTTGGTTATACTGTGAATTGTTGTAAAAAAAATTATGATACCATATCTTCATTAAAAAAATATTTCCAAAAGATAAAATGATCATGTTGACTGCTTGTAAACATCCTAAATATAAGAAAGTATAAACTGAATAAATAAAACACTTTGTTTTATAAAACATATTTTCTTCTATTTGAACTATGTATGAAACAGTTTTTCAGAAAACATGGGTAAATTATTATTTTTTCAGTGGCTCTGTTGTGTTTTGTAAAACTTTATCCACACAGTAAACAAATATTCAACCTAAAATATGGCTAAAAATGGGATTTGTTATCGAAAATTGTATTAAAGTGTGTAGATGATTAAAATAAAACTATTTTAACCTCATCATTTCTGTCTTAATGTACCTTTGAACAAAACCAACTAGTAGAAGGAAGAAAGTGTAATAATTATAATATTTAAGATAACTATAGTATATTTCAAAGGATCCCAAAACACAAGCCCTTTTGAATAGTTGACTACTATTTTTCCAGAGTTAAGACATCTTTTTAACTCGTGAAGAAGAAAAATCAACTATTCAAGAGCACTTCAGTTTCAGGATCTTTTGAAATCTAGATTTTTTGGTGATCTTTTGAACTAATTCTTTCATCATGATTATGATAGATAAATATATATATTTAAAATTTACTAGAAGAGTTCACATTGTAAGTAGTTTTGAGATAAAATTGTTGCAGTGTATAAAAACGTTTTTTGTTTGAACTTAGAATCTTTTAATAATCCTTTGTTTACCAATATGGATCATTATGAACTCACAACTTTTGCAACAGGCCAGATCTTTTTTAAAACTAAAATGGATACATTTAGATATAGTTCTGAACAATAATTAAAATTTAAGTTATTTTTAACACATTATAGACATAATACTTAAAATAACTGGGAGAGAGAGAGGCAAATATAAATCTGGTCAGCCATCTGTTTATACATTGGTAATAGGAAAGTTAATAAGGTTATAACAAGAGCTTTTATGGTTTTTTTTAGATCTTGCATCAGAGCAGATAGTATCTTCGGTAAAATATTTTAATTTGTTTTTATTTTTTAATGTATTTAAGGGTCCTCAGGCTCTCAAGGTTTTAATGATAAGTGGGTGGAATCCTCCTCCAGGGATTAGAAAATTACATGGTAGGAAAAATTATATGCTTGTGAAATAATTTTATACTTTTTGAACAGAATGAGTGTATTTCTTCTCAAGAATGTGTCCACCAGTAAGGTTATGAAGTTGCAATGCCAAATACTGTGGGGGATTTAATTCCCCCACAGTGGACAAATAGCCCATTGTGCAGCTTGAGAGACAACTAAGTCATTGTGAATTACTTTCCCAACTAAACATCTTATGCATTTATTTAAAAAAATAAATTTTACATTAAAAAAACATAATGAAATGTACATTTTTTTATAA